TTTATTTTCATTATTTCCATTCTACGTGACTTTACCGAAAGAACCAAGAAGATGAATCCAGTGAGTTGGTAATGAACGGCTTCCAGCGGTGAATGGTGTTCAGGTGCGCACAACAATAATTAAACCTGCATCACGGGTTTAATTATTGTTTTTGTTAAATGTCGTTTCCATGACTTATTATCGGTGGCTTTTAATGGGGGTGCACTGTATGGTATAGCGTGCTCTTTGTATCAGCTGGAGCCGTCTGAGGCCGAGCTACGCAAAATACATTTTGAGTATGTCGATTTTTCTTCATGGTTCTGTCGGTAAAGTCACGTAGAAGGGAAATAATAAAATAATAAAAATAAAACATAATAAAATAATTCTCACGACGTTTCGACCACAACGCAAGCAGCCGTCCTCAGGTGAAGAACAGGTCTGTCGGAAAGACAGCGTCTGACGTTTCACCGGTAATTACAACCAGACGCTGTCTTTCCGACAGACCTGTTCTTCACCTGAGGACGGCTGCTTGCGTTGTGGCCGAAACGTCGTGAGAATTATTTTATTATGTTTTATTTTTATTATTTTATTATTTCCCTTCTACGTGACTTTACCGAAAGAACCAAGAAGATGAATCCCTGCAGTCACGAAAGCTTTAAATCGAAATATGTAGATTTTATACATAATAGAAAATTTAGGATTAGATCGCGTGGAAATAAATAAATAAATAAACATTTATCCCTCCAAGACAGAAACAGAAGGATGTCTCCGTAACTCTGGCTGTCGTCTGATGATGCTGGTTGTAATTACCGGTGAAACGTCGTACTCGAATTGTAAATGTTGTGGATTTACTCTCCAACACACCGGTGTTGCTGTGCTCCTAACGAATTGGCATGTTTCGTTTACGTGACAAACCTTACTAATTGGCTGTGTCGGGTGGTGGCGGGTTTAGCGATCCATTTATATTTACGCGATCTAACCCAAAAACCTCTAATGCGGATAATATTGGTCGTGAAAGCCTACGTGTTATGTAGATTTAGCGTTAGTTGATGTTATTTTAGCTAACACACCGGTGGGCTAAAGCAGTGAACTATTTGTCTTTTGTCAACGTGACACTTTTTTACTGATTGGCCGTGTCGGGTGGTGGACGGTTTAACGACACATTTATAAATAACGCGATCTAAACCCAAAAACGTTGATTATAAAAAATATATAATCGGTACTCTTCTTCCAAGTCTTTGTTCCCACGCCTTTACCACCCCGCATTGACCAGCGTGGTGAAGTATGGTCATCCAAACATTCACTTGATGCAAGGGATGGACGTGTAATTACGCAATGTGATTTGGCAGGAAATAGAAATGATGCAGATGCGTCATTACAAAATAAATAAATAAATGCTCACATCAACAACCACCGCTAAACTATGTTGAAGTGTTTTCCGGATTGCCACTAATGTGGATGGGTAACAGAGAAAACACCGATCAATAGATTCATATTGATTCTTTAAGCTCACGATATGTGCATCTAAGCCCATTTGTAAGAATGGATGATGGTTCTCTGCTAATGTATTCTGCATGTAATGGGTTTGGGTGTGTTTTGTAGTCTGGCCGGGTGGCTCGCAATCGGAAGTTCAAATCCTGCTTGAAGGTTGTTGACTCAGCCCTTCATCCCTCCGGGTTCAATACAAGAAGTAAACCGCGTTGTGGCACCCAGATACATTTGGAATTTCCACCACTGGCTCATTTGAGCAAGACATCACGTTCACGTCAACACATTCACACGATCCCTCCAGCTACTCTAGGCCACCGCATTCACTTGATTCATGATAATGATCAACCGTGCTCAATCCACTGCTGGATGAAGGCGCCGGGATGCAAGCTGATTTAATCGCTCCATCTCCCCGTTAAGGGCCTTCCTCTCGGACGCGTTCCATTCCTTGGCTGTCTCCGCGTTACGATTCTTGACCCATCGGCCATCATCCTTTCTAGGGGACGTCGTCACATGTCCAAGCCCCACTGACTTGTCTTACAATCGGGGTGGTTTGTCAATCATTTCGCCCCAGTGATGAGTTAGTTCGACCGTATTTTCCGGGATTATAAGACGCACCATAAACGTCTGCCTGGGTGTCAAGTTACTCTATACCAATCTGGTCACACGCACCTACCGGATTATAAGACGAACCCGCATCCACCCATACACACGTTTTACTTTAAAGTGCAGGGAAAGGGTGCGTCTGTAGTATCGGGAGAATACGGTAAGCAGTGTTACGTTTATCTTCTTGGTTCTTTCGGTAAAGTCACGTAGAATAGAAATAATACAATATAATAAAACATAATAAGAGATAATTATATTATTTTAGTATATGTTTTTTCCCTTCTACGTGACTTTACCGAAAGAACCAAGAAGATGAATCCCTGCAGTCACGAAAGCTTTAAATCGAAATTCAGTGTTACGTTTCTTGTCTTCGTTCCTCAGGTTGCCATTCTAATCTTTGTGGCTGCACATGTTCGCCAAGGAGCAGGAAAAACAAGTGTCGCATCTTGCCAGGCAGCAAATGGGCTGCAGTAGAATGTGGAAAAAAATGCCTCCTTATCTCTGCATCCCACGAGCAGTGCATTCTCTGTTCGTTACAATAAACACGGCATGCTGGTGGAGCTTTCGCAAACGTTTCTCAATCAATCCACTGTTGGATACGAAAATAAGCCTCCACAGGAAGTGTTGTTTTGTTGGTCACGGGGGTTGCTGACCATACTTCACCAAGCTGGTCCGTGCGGGTTGATGATGGAATGGGATTTAATTGATTCTAGATTTGTAGGGACTTAATTGGTCAACATTGTCGGGTGGCTAGTTTTTGCTCCCGTATTTTGTTCCGAAAGCTTTGCAGTAGACGTGTCTCCGATGCGTCTCACACGCTCACAAGAGGTGAATTAATGTATTATTCAAGATTTACTGCTTGTTTTAGTTGACACACGTAGAGGCCACATATACATTCATATTAAACGAATTAAAAAAAATTAAAATATCGATCGGCTGAAAATCAATGTTCACACACTTAAATTTCGATTTAAAGCTTTCGTGACTGCAGGGATTCATCTTCTTGGTTCTTTCAGTAACGTCACGTAGAAGGGAAATAATAAAATAATAAAAATGAAACAATAAAATACAATTCTCACGACGTTTCGGCCACAACGCAAGCAGCCGTCCTCAGTTGAAGAACAGGTCTGTCGGAAAGACAGCGTCTGACAGACCTGTTCTTCACCTGAGGACGGCTGCTTGCGTTGTGGCCGAAACGTGGTGAGAATTGTATTTTATGATGTTTAATTTTTATTCTTTTATTATTTCCCTTCTACGTGACTTTACCGAAAGAACCAAGAAGATATTCACACATTTATTAAATTACACTTCGTACAGTCGCAGTACAGTCGTTTGGTTTTCATAGTAGCACGTTGTGAACACGGCCCCCCCTGAGTTCGATACATGGCTAGGGCTATATCACATCCCCCTTCCTACCGCCCCCCCCCCCATTCACTAAGCCGCACTGACCAGCGTGGTGAAGTATGGTCAGACAGACAGCCCCCCCCCCTCCCACGCCACAGACGACACGTCATTTGCACGCCTTAATCTAGCAGTACATTTAACAAAAGGTTGTACATTTTATTGTAATAATTATATTATCACCATTAATTATTTAATCTACACATAACGCGATTATTCGTGTTAATTCGTTCCGGACGCACGGATATTATTCCCATTATCCGTTCTCTGATCGCGCTCGACGGATAAACGAATCCCATAGTTATCGACCCCGAATATTTGGATAAAAGAAGTTTGTTAATTTACGTCGATCAGCGTTTCACAAACTACAAGTTAAATATCACGTATCGCTGCACTGTGTATATATGTAGTCCGAATACATCAGTACTGCGCATAACACACGGCACTGAATTGTTTAAATAAACAATTCAATGTTCACACACTTATTAAATTGTTTAAATAAAACAATGCATCAGTCCACCTGCTGTATTGTTTCACCCGGGGATAATGGCTTGTGTTGCTATCGAAACGTCGTGATCTATGATTTTTAAATCCTTTATATTAAGTTCGCTTGCTTGCTTACGACCGTGCAAATCTTTCGGTCGTTTTTTAACCCACTTCCCGTGATCCAATCGAGCTGACATGTTCCACACTGACTCGTTGTGCGTGACAATTAATGTTCGTAAAATTTTTTGCAAAAAATGTTACACTTTTTAGGACAAAAATATTATATTTAATTATCAATTGCTTAATGGTGCAATGCAATCATCTGACCCATAGGTGGCAGCCATCTCAAGCCAGAGGACGAGAGGACTCTAGCCGCCACGCATATAAAGGATTTATAGTGAAAAACTTTGTTTTTACGGGTTATACTTGTTCTACCCTGCACGTGGCTTTACCGAAAGAACCAAAGAGTAAAGTGAGTAAGTTTTACCGGCTTCAACTGTTAATTCTCTACTCACGGTTGATTATGTAAAGAGTGACGAACTCTCTAAGGTAACGTGTGCTGTGTGTACCAAAGGGGAGTATTGCTTCATCACGTTGTATACAGCGCTGTCAATCTACGCCGGGCACGAACAAAAGTCACGGCTCAAAGGATACGATCAGATGTCTCTGGGTTAAATCTCCACACCGGACTAGGGAGACGACGTCAAAAACAACGAAATTATCCATCTCAACCGGCGGTTTCTCCCACGACAAATTACAACCGTTTGTCCATCCACCGCTGGACGGATTCGTTTGACCATACTTCACCCGTTACTGGTCAATGCGGCTTAGTGAAGTATCTGGGTGGGGGGGAGGTGGAATAATGACCCAGCCAGGTGCGGTTCAGATCACGCTCCACTGACATTATGTCACGAACGCCGTGGAACGGGGGAGTCGAACCCAGCTTGTTGGTGGTTTGGGGGTGTTGGGGAGCGTTCAAGCGCACAAATCCACCGCGCCCGCAGCTATCCAGCCATCCAGCGCTGTCCACTTGAACGTACCTTGAACGTGCCTTGAACGTGCCTTGGCAGTGCCGGCTCCGGCGAAACTCAGTAAATCCCCGCGGCTGAGTGCTTCATCTCAAGCCGCGACTTCCAGCGGGTGAAGACGAACTCGCGACAGGCTCGGTCGCTTTCCTCCTCCGACGACAACGATCTGCCACCACCCCCCCTCCCCCACCACTCGCTGTCCGCAACCTCGACTCGGATGATGTTGACGTCGCTGCGGTGGTTTTGTCACTTGACACACCACCGACCCACTGTCGTGCACCAGCGGCAACTGACACAGTCACCCCCACCCTCGATCCTGTCACCAAAAGTGTGTGTGTGTGTGGGGGGTGGTCCAGATGAAGCCCCAAACTTCCGGGGTTGTTCCACCCCCTCCACCACCAACACCCAACACTCGGCCACCTTTCAGCCGTTGTCGTTGTGCGCCGCGACCTCATGCGAGCGGTGTGTGGGGCCACAGCACCTCCAGGCGACTCGTGTGCCCCACTGCACAGCGACGAAGAGAGAGAGGAGGAGGGGGGGACCCCGTGGGGCAATCGTGGTGATGGGGCAGGGGAGGTGTCTCTGGCAAGCTGTGCCCGCACCTGTGCAGCGCGCTACTGCCGCCTGCTGCTGCTGCCGCACGAAGCCCCGTGGATCTGGAACGTGGAGAATGAAGGCCCCCTAAGAGCGCAGAGCTTCTTAACATTTTTTAGGGCCCGGGGATCACTCAGCCGATGCACCACTCAGCTCCCCTCTACCCCTCCCAGCCAGCCCTGGTGACAACACGCAATCACTTCTATCTCTAAATACCAGGGATATTAATTGCTTAATATTGCCGGGACATAAACATTCTTTTTTTTAAACGGCGCTTATAACGATTTTTTTAAGGTGGGCATTTAGATAGATGAGGTTAGTTGATTTAACTTCACTTTTTAATTCAATATCACGAGTAAAATAGTGAATGTCCGAAAGAAAATGTGTGAACAGTGTCATCATGCTGGATTACAGGCGTGCATCGCCACCACCGCCACCCCACAATGGACTTCTTCCGGACCTGGTGGTTTTGCATAACGGTGATGACTCGACCGCGTGTTTTGTGTGTTGAAACGTCGCTCAATGACGGTATATTATCTACTAGCGGTAAGAACCCGGCGTTTCCCGGGCGAAAAAGACAGATACACACACATCGACTTACACACATCGACTTACACACACTTTCTATGTACATGAGTTTAGCGGAAGAAGCAAGGAACACAAATATTAGTTGTTCGCACAAAAACATTATGATTGAAATATTTGCAAAGGGATTATTCTAAAATTAGATTTCAATCAACGTGATTTGACACAATAACAACTATATCAATGCAGAGCAAGTTAATAATACGTTATTAGTTGTGAGCACACAAACGAAAATATGTGTGAATATTTGCAAGGTGATTATAAAATACCAGGGTTCTGTGTACATGAGTTGAGCGAAAGAAGCAAGGAATAGAAAAAATAGTTGTCCGCACACAAACATTAATAATGTACATTCATATTCTTGGTCCTTTCGGTAAAGTAACGTAGAAGGGAAATAATAAAATAAAAAAAATAAAACAATTCAATTCTCACGACGTTTCGATTGCAACTCAAGCAATCGTCATCAGGTGAGAAAACCACAGCAAGAAAATTTGAAAAAAGCAGCCACTTTTTTCACACCTGATGATGATTGCTTGTGTTGCAATCGAAACGTCGTGATAATTTTATTGTTTTATTTTTATTATTTTATTACTTCCCTTCTACGTGACTTTACCGAAAGGACCAAGAATATGAATCCCTGCAGTCTCGAAAGCTTTAAATCGAAATGTGCATTCATTTTGTCTTTCGGTAAAGTCGACAGTCATTGCCAACGAGACCAAGGCAGCTTGCCAGTGACTCAGGGGGCCAGCTGCGTGGTTATCGTGTGTGCAGGTCGCGCAGCCTGCACCTAGACCCGTGTACCGGAGGAACCCAGGCTCCGTGCGTGCAGAACTCGTGGCAGAATTGAAGAGGGACGCGCCAATAATTCACCTGTTGCACCAGGGCCCATGCCAACCACGCCACGACACTTTGGGGGGGCATGTCTGGTTTGCATGATCGTAAACCGAATTAAAACCGGTAAAAACGAGTTACCGCTTTGTCGCATCCTGTATATAGAAATGTCTAGAGCAATGAACATAGCATTTTAGTTGTTTATATTGTTATTTAAACTATAAAACGCCAGAATGCTGCTGCCTTTGTTACGGGTGAACACGCTGGGCTTGCAATGCGCGAGGTCGCCCAGTCGACTCCAACAGTTGAAAGATGAATTACAATCTTGAAATAATTGTGAACCTTTATTTTAAGCTTTCGTGACTGCAGGGATTCATATTCTTGGTTCTTTCGGTAAAGTCACGTAGAAGGGAAGTAATAAAATAATACAAATATAAAACTATAACAATTCTCACGACGTTTCGACTGCAACACAAGCAATCATCATGATATTTGTATTATTTTATTATTTCCCTTCTACGTGACTTTACCGAAAGAACCAAGAATATGAATTACAATCTTGAAATAATTGTGAACCTTGATTTGAAGCTTTCGTGACTGCAGGAATCCATACTCTTGGGTTCTTTCGGTAAAGTCACGTAAAATAAATCACGACGTTTCGGGCACAACACAAGCATCCGTCACCAGGTGGGAAAGCATGCTTTCCTGATGACGGACGCTTGTGTTACGCCCGAAACGTCGTGATTTATTTTATACCTACGTGACTTTACCGAAAGAACCAAAGAGTATTATTTTGAACCTTGACTACACCCCCGTCCCACCTTGACCCCCAGACCCTAGCAGTACGTGTTTAGTGTAAAGGAGCCCAAATGCCCTTTAGAGCTCCCTCTAGCGGAGGCCCTTTCGCCAGCAGTGGCGTGAGCGAGCAGCACGATTTGATGTCAGATTCAAACATCAGAATCCTTTTATCGTACTCGAGGAATCCGATTGACCATGAACTTCGTTTAAACAGATTACATTTTTTTCACAGATGTCGACGCAGAGCATCAACTACAATTTCACATTCTTAGGTTTTTTCGGTAAAGTCACGTAGGTAAAACATTAAAATTAATAAAAGTAAAATAAAATAAAAATCACGACGTTTCGGAGGCAACGTCGTGATTTTTATTTTATTTTACTTTTATTAATTATAATGTTTTACCTACGTGACTTTACCGAAAAAACCTAAGAATATGAATCCTTGCAGTCACGAAAGCTTCAAATCTAGAATACAATTTCACATTCTGACAACGACGTCCAGGATCGGCGGAGGGCATCGCTGCGATGTCTCAGACCTTCGCATTGAGCTGACAGGACTCTGCACCGTTATCGCTGCAATGACAAACGAGGGCACGGTGACTGAGGCCATCGTGCGGTCTGTGCGTGCGCACGCGCCAATCGGAGCATTCTCCGTGACTCACATTCCACTGGAAGCGGTTATCTGATTCTGAATCGGTAATAGATTTTGAAACCATTTAACGATGTTGCGGTTGAAAATAATAAAATTAATAAAATAAAACATAATAAAATAATTCTCACGACGTGTCGGCCACAACGCAAGCAGCCGTCCTCAGGTGAAGACCAGGTCTGTCGGGGAGACAGTGTCTCCCCGAGAATTATTTTATTATGTTTTATTTTATTATTTTATTATTTCCATTCTACGTGACTTTACCGAAAGAACCAAGAAGATGAATCCCTGCAGTCACGAAAGCTTTAAATCGAAAAGTTGTTGCGGTGTGTTATGCAACAACCCTAGCGTAAACCTCGTGTGTCCTTTGTCAAGCCACTGCTGGATGAAGTCATCCCTATGCTGTGTCAGTCATAGGGATTGATGGACGATGCATTTTTTATTATTTTGGTTTAACACGTGGATTATGAATGCATTCTTTCAACGACGGGCATCCCAATGATGACTATATAACTTTTGGAATTCAAACTTAAGAATAGATCATGGAAAGCAAGCATGTGTTACAAATTTACCTCGAACTCCCTGTACATTTCTACTGCGCGTTCTCTTGGCAAACACTGTTAATTCTTCGGAGATGAATGATAATTTAAAATCCACTAAAGCTGCAGTTGTAATAATTTACATCCCTTGGTCAATCAACTGTCAGATGAAGGCCTCCTCCATGCAGTGTCGGTCATACTTCAGCACGCTGGTCAGTGCTGGTTGGTGAAGGGAGGGAGTATGTCTGTAGAACTTCTTTCGCACCGTACGTAGCCAGCCGTGCTATTCAATGATACGGGGAGTGAAGGGAAGAGGTGTAGGAGGCATGGATGCAGAACCTGTTCAGATGTTATTCGTCACTTATGTTAGCCGTGGCCCGGAATAGAACTCAGGTAGGCGTACTCGTAATGCACTACGCTAGCCGCTGCATTTCCCTGTATGGTGTAATTGCAAAATGACGCATTGTCTTGGAGGATTGTGGACAGTACAATAAGTAATGAATACAAGCTCTATTTCAGCACGTAAACATTAAATAACATTCTAGTCCTCGACAAAGCGCACGGGTTGTGGGGCCAAAAGCTTCGCTTAATTTGAGTTCCATCCCGAGGGCCAGAAAGCTGAAGGAGTAAAGTGTTCACCATCACGTGGTGAAGCCAATTCCTGCCGATTGAGTACTTTGAGTTTATTGGTTATGGTCTATAGACTTTTGCTGGTTCTAAATCACAATCCTGAATTTATTTTTTAAACGAACTTTGGAAAGAATTATGTGTTTAAGAACATTCGTTAATAATAACAGGAAAATGTATCGTAGGTGATGGCCCTTATGTGCAATGAAGAAGGACCATTGCCCGAAACGTCGCCTATTGTTTATCCTTTGTTACACGACAGTGGTATTGATGAAAATTCGTTTCTTGTTATTCATACTTGTGCAGCACTGCCAACCGCAGCATCATCAAATAATAATTTGGAAATAAATGTGTACTTTCACATGGTGCAAGAACGCGCGTTTAACTGGACGCTCCCGTTGTTTCTACGTATTAACTTTCTGGAGAGAGAATGGTTATACTGACAGCAACCCTTACTTGTTTGACTGGATTCGGTCCAGTTTGCGTGTGTATACAAATGCTTTTGGTTCACACAAGTCCGGTCCCGGTGTGGACTCACCATAATTAATATGCCACCTGGATATGCATACGTAACTGAAGGTGATGTATTTAATGTATTACCTAAAATGCAATAACTACCATATACAGGGTGCTTCAAAAAATGTTAACACTTTTATGGGACGATCGTTTTTAATGAAAAAAGAACGGGTAATACACTGCAACATGATAACAAATGTATGTTAATAGCTTTAAAAAGTGAAAGAGTCTCCACCAGAGGGCTCTGTGAGATGTAGATTTTTTTTTTCTTCTGTGAAAGGCTCAAGGCTCTCACCGTGCAGAGTGAGGGCCCTTACCAATAACGGTGTGTTAACCAGCAGGATG